GCTGTCCCAGTGACAGACGCTAACGGTCAGCAGCTAGTTAGCCCCGATAATATGCCACTGGCTCAGGTGTGCCGATATGGAGGCTATTTTGTTCTATACATTCATGTTCGTGTGGGGAATATACGTTCAGCTTGTGAGTGTATATTCCATAGCTAGGGGATAAAGAGAAACATTATTGGAATCGTAATCTTTTTTAGCAGGAGTCTCACCTGAGCAACTTGCCTTCCACAGAGAGGGTAAAAAAAGAGATTGAAAACACACAAAGGCAGGGGGATAAGGCAGAAAGGCAGTTTGAATAGAGATCGTTGGCTCCTCAAGGTGCAGGAGAAGGCGAGACTCTCCTTGCCCTCAGGTCCTGAAAGCCGATCGCTTGGTTTTTTGAAAGAGCGGCTTTGTGAGGATGCCTCCGACCGCTCCTCTGAGGAGCGCTCACTGTCTGTTATGACTAAAAAAGAGTGACCGAGTTTTCATCACCTATAGAAGATAAAGCACAGCTTTGAAAGCGGGGGGAAAGGCAGCAGTTTGAACTTAATTCTCCCTTTTTTTGATTACAAGAGAGGCAATTGTTCTGCCTGGGCAGGCCTGGTTATTGTGCGCCGTGCGCTGGGTGTTACATTCCCGGGGTTTTCGGATGCTTATTGTAGTGCAAGTTCGCTCTCATGCTTTCATTCCCTAGTGTATTGGTTACTTTGTTGTGTAGGCTGCAGAATAGCTTGCCTATCAGGCTTAGCATGCGGGTCACTCAAGGTGGGCTGCAGTAGGTGGGTGTGTGGGTAGATGTGGATTTATTTGGCGGCATCTATCGCTGTTCAAAGCCTGGTGTGTGGGTTGCTGCCACTCGGAGGAAAACTTAGCTGTGTTTTTTTGTAGTTGGCTCGCCTGTGGATAGCTATCATTGTATCGTTAGCTTTTTCTGTGCTCCTATTTTTTACAGATGGACGCATCGATGGTCCCATTTCTCCCCCTCTCCATTAAACTAAATTAGCCAGCAGAGTCCCCGACTGCACAGACAAAACTACTCATTAACTCTTGCAACTCACTCCAGTCTCCTTTTCTCCAAACGTGCTTTAGCTCAGAGACAACAGGGATGGGGCAGGGGAAAGAGTGACAAAGGGGGAAAAAGACTAAAGCTAGAGAGGAGGATTGAATGAGTGAAAGAGCTGCTGGGGTAGAAAAGGGGAAGAATGTGATGTCCCCGGTCTATGAGGGATTCCATTTTTTGCCTTTCTAGAATAGAACAGTAAGTCACCAGTCTCTTTGTCTGTCTTTGATCTCTCAGCTCGGGGATTTGGCACCTGACAAACCCCTCTCTGTCTCTGAAAGGAGGCTTGCTGAGAGAAAGCCTCTGAGAGCGGGAGACAGAAAGAGTAAAAAAAATTAAGGGAAAAAAGAGTTAGAGAGCATCGGGAGTGAAAAAAAGAGACGTATAAAAAAGATGGTGTGGGGGGGGAAAAAATTGGGTTAGACTTTTGAGGGCTGCATTAGAGGATATGACGAGGGCGTCTCAGCTCAGATCCCATTAAAACTCAATACACATGTGTTCCTGTGCGCCTCTATTTGCGTCTGTATAGGTTTGCCACGGCTGGTCCGGACAGTGATAAATCCAGAAAGTCTTAAGGGAGATTCCTCTCTGAAGCCACGGTCTCTTGGACCACCCACTATTGTGGTCTCTTTCCTCTCACACACACACACGAAGGCTCCTAATAGGAAGCAAATTCCCCCAGCTTTACTTGGATATCAACCTCTCTTTTCTTCCAGTCATTCCCTTTGCAGGGCAGTCGCTGCTATAAACAAGCCCTGATATGTTGACATCACATTTTCAAACACAAGTTCTGAAATCCTGAGTTTCAAACCACAGATGATGAAGATGCCAGAGCCTGTCTACGGCAAAACGGGGGGATTTGGAGTTCTGCAAAGAATTCTGGGACAGCCTGTGAGGGTCAGCTTGGGACAGCTTAATAATTGACGGGCAAAAAAAAAAAAACCTCATCAACCGTGCACAGTTTGAGGTAGGCTGCTCTTAGACTGTCTTTAGACTTTTAAGAGGCTCAGACCCAAAGGCTGTGAAGCATGGGACTCAATTAACTCTCCCACCAGCTTTTAGCATTCGGGGGTTGGGTGGGGGGCACCTTCTCAAACAGCTGCTTGACCCCGCTCTCAGCTCCGGACACTTTCCTGGTCAGCGCACATGTACAAACCCTGACTTTGTGTTTTGTCGACTGAAGCGGTCACAACCTCTCGAACAAAACCCACAAACCCTAGTGTCCTCCTGTTTCTAATGATGACACCGGGCGCTGAAAGATTCCTTTAGAGACAGGGAGATAAGACAAAGTACCCCCTTACTAATCTCCTCACTTTTTTTTTTTGCTACTGTGAAGAAAAAGAAATGGAGGCTTCACGCACCCCTGCGGGCTACAGTCAATGAGGCCCTTAGCTTAGTGCTAGCGAGCAAAGTGACAGGGATTTAGAGCTGATTGAGGGAATGGGACTGGGCAAAGAATGGCTCAGCAGGTAGCAGCTAGCTTTGGCTCTGTTAACGCCACGCTATGCTAATCCAGCAGCTAGGGAGGAGAGTCTGCAGGCTAAATAGCCTGACTTTATTGTGCCTCCAAGACAGGGATTTCCCAGTATTTTAGAGGGTTTGTGGATTTCCTCTGCTGTTTGTGTGTGCAAGTGTGTCAGCCGGGTGGCGGAATATGTGTTTTCGTTGGAAGACCCGGCTTCCCTCTTGGTGCGGTGAACGTGGACAGGCTCTGATTTGATTTCTGGTGTGGGTAACTCATGCAAAAGTTTGTTTATTCGACTATATGCAGGTTTCCTTGATGTATTTATGACTGTGGTGTTGAAATCTATATGCCTTTCAAAACGTACTTTGAGATCCGGGTTGTGCGTGAGCTTTTGAAGAAAAGGGGAGATTGCTTTACCCCTGCAGACTGTGTGTAATTATCTGACTTATATTGGGTATGAGTTTACCCATCTGTCTTCATTGGAGTTCTTTTTTTTTAACACCATAACAATATAGACAGACACTCAAGTATTTCATTCTAACAAAACCCAAACCACAGCCCTCTGGCCTCCATACCATTTGTTGACCCACTGCCAAGCACACGGCTGCCTCACTGACTGACAGGTTATTCGGTCCAATCGGTGTTGCGACTGTCTGCGCCGCACCTTTCGGAGAATTGTTCTATTGTCCTCGTCTTTCTGGTTCAGCGCTCAGGGGCTGAAACGTAACCCTGCTAGGTTTCTCCGACCATTACAGAAATGGATAGAGGAAGGAGAAACTCCTTGAAAGACGAGCCCTCCAATCAAACTGTCACTCAAAGGAAAGGCGAGCAATGTCGCCAAAAGTAGGAAAAGTGTCACTTAGGTTACCATTTCAGGCTGTGAGGTGTGTGTGTGTGTCTGTGTGTGTGTCTGTGCCCGGGCTCACAGCCTTGTGAGAGTGACAGAGCTCCCGGTGTGCCAAGTGTGGTGGCATTTGTTTGTTAAATGGTCTGAAATGCCATTGGCTCTAGTTTCATTGCAGCTCCACATCTTGCCAACAGAGCATAGCCTAAATTTGTGAGAGAGACAAGAGGTAGTTATTTGATCTTCTCCTTTTTTTTTGGTCAGAGGAAATAGCACCCTTTCCTCCAGTTCTGTTGTTTCTGGTAATGGAACGCAGGCTTGTGAGAAAGGTGAAAAGGGAGAAAGCGCTGAAGTAGAAAAACGAAGACAAAGAGAGAGAGAAGGGGGGGACTGGTGAAAGGAACAGGGGCCTCTCTGCAACATGTTGTTCTCTGTTGCTAATTGGGGGGAATTGGTCAAGCCCGCACTGCTCTCTTCTTCTCTTCAGAGGGATAAAATACAGGTAAATTTCAAGTTCAGTGAGTAGGAAATAATCCTTATTACTGAAACTAGTGTTGAGGAACACGCTGGCGAGTCTTCTGATTTAGCCTTTGGGAACAAGAGGCGATTTCTATGGGCTTTAAATGTATCCAAGTGATATCTAATAGTCCATTCATCGTTTATGAATATATAGATAAATCTGACATAATTTTAAAAAGGCTACACAGAGAGATGTTGCTGATGCTTTTAAGATTGCATTTCAGCAAATTCAATTCCTTTTTGGCACACACACTAAAAAAAAGATTCTTCATCCTCAATAAATGTGATGCAATAATTTCGAGTAATATCTAAAATCAAATAATGAATCACTAAGGAAGATGTGCTTGGTGTAGACAAATCAAGTCCATTTCATTTGACTAGATTCCATTAGATGTTACAGTTAAAATTTTACACTGTACTTATGTAACAGAATTACATGGAAAAGTGGCACGTAATTAAATTTGTTAAAGTCAGCATTTCGGGCAGAGTGCAGACTGTTTAATTGCATGTATCCAAAGCTTTTTCAAGTGTGATCAAAAACTACAAAGTAGCTACACAACCAGAAACCTTCCAGTTCTAAAAATCGTGACCACTGCCTTCAGATTCTCCACATTTGTTTCCAGTTTGCAGAGAGTACAAACCCCAGGCGACTGCATATATTAACTGTGGGTGTTTCTGCTGTGTTCACCCTCTTTGGTTTGGACTAAAATATCTCAGTAACTATTGGATGTCTTGCCATAGCATTTGCTGCAGTGTAATTGGTCCATTGCAGTTCATACAGTGGGTAAAGATTTTGTGGACTGTTGTAATAACTTTGGTGTTTCGCTGACTTTTAATCTTAATCTGTGTAATCAGATCTAAATTTTTGTTCCATACTTTGATTTGTGAGCAAAAACCCTCCAATGACATTCCAATGAGTTTTAGCTGCAATTGCTGTGTGCAAGGACAGAAGCATACAGCTAAAACCACCACTAATTTATTAGTGGGCTGCTTGGGAACTACAGCCTTCCAGCTTCTTCCAGAACTTTCCCCTCTAGTACAAAAGCATTTGAGTCATAAACATGTATTTCATATTGTCCAGATTTGCAACCCTAACCCGACTTCCTCTCTGTGTTTTTGCTATCTTTCAGCTTGTAAGATTGGTTACTACCGTGCTCTGGCCACCGATGGCGCCTGTTCCAAGTGTCCTCTTCACAGTTACTCTGTCAGAGAAGGCTCCACCTCCTGTGCCTGCGACAAGGGATACTTCCGCTCCGAAACGGACCCGGCATCCATGCCCTGCACCCGTAAGTACACCCACATGTAGCATAACGATACACAGCGCGCAGTTATGTTACCAGTAGGCCGTGACAGGCTGTGGTTTGCAGTAATTTTCTAAACAGCCAAAGATAGCTGTAACCGAACACTGTTTTGGAAAGGAACCCCGACACACACACTGAGAGAGACCGCCTCCGCCGAAACTTGGGCATTGATTCTAAAACATGCATTGCCAGGCCCTCACACCCACACATACATGTACACGTACACGTATACACACACTGACAGATAATCATGCAAATTGTGCAAACATAAAGAGGGCGCATGTTGGTTTAATAGGTGTCTTTTGATCTCAGGTGGTACTTAGTCATCGGTCGTAGTGACATAGAACTAATGAGGGTAAAAACGGCTGCATCCCAGATTCAGTCTTCCAGACGGTGAACAGGAATGAAACTGTTTGGGGGAGGTGATGAAAAAGGAAAACAAGGGCAAGACATATGTAAACTAAAGCAATGGTGACCAGGCGGATAAAGGGAAGAAAGCTAGAAGACAGCAATGAATCAAGCTAGAGGAAGGTGTTCAGTGGTAAATTCATCTGTGTGTGTCTTCACTTTCCTCCTTCCGGTTGTTTGAGTGAACTGCTAGTGAATCTGGTCCTTCCAAGCCTACCCCACTAACTCACCACGTCTGTGATAACAAATATTGCCAACAATCCTGCTGCCTAATGATACCTCTTGCCTTTTTTTAGACCTCGTTCCCACTCTGAGTCACAGAACTGGGAGTTCATAGTGGCAGAAATGCACACAAACACGGAGAGAACAGGAAAAGCCACATAACACCCGAATCCCTGCACTCCCATCTTACGGGAAAATAATAAGATTGATACGTTCGTTTGAGAGCCGTTTGTGTTATGAATGAGTAATTTTAGTGTCATGAAGTAATTTTAACAACGAAAACATCTGTTAATGTGCTTAGCTCATAGTTGGCTCGCCTTTCTGTCAAGTTCCTGAGGAGTCATCACTCAGCAAATCAGCTCACTGAATCAGAGTGGATGAAGTACCCCCCCAGCCCCAAACTAATTATTTCCCTCTAGCATAGCATCTATACAGGATCCAAAGCAATACACCACTGTGAGCAATTTGTAAAATTGGAAATGTTCGACTTTGCTACAAAGTGCCACAGAGTTTACACGTATTTTCCAACTGTCATTAAACATGAAGGTAGGAAAGTATTTACTCAGAGCAGCGAGTACAAAAGCTTTTATGCAGTGGCTGGATGTGTCACATAAAGTGGCAATAGAAAGGAGTGAAATGGGTATTTTATTTGAAGGACAGACAACAATGTAGAGCTTTAACAAAAAACTCCATTAAAGGGGACCTATTATGCCTTTCCTCTTTTTCTGAAGTACACGTACTGTTACAATGGTGGATGCACATTAAACATGACCAAGGTTTCAAATAATCGGCTCGCCGTGTAAACACATAAATCCCTTGAGCCAAACCTCAGGCTTCAGACTGCTCCAAAAGGGTCAGTTTCTACTCTGGGCTCTGTATGACCTCCCATGAGCAGATATCCCTAATATGGCTGTCAGCACAGAAGCTCCGCCCACCTGCCATGCTAATTTTTGATTCTGAGAAGCAGCCAATCAGAAGAAAGACATCTTAATAGACACATTAAAGATAGGTGTCCAAATTCTGACTTGTAGTACAAACATATGGAGTTACAAGCATTTGCAACTGCACCAAAGCCCCCAGGATAAGAGAAATGACGGTTATTTTGAACTGTGAATGATAGAAGGCTGTTCTAGAAAAGTCTAAATATCTACTGCACATGTAAAATCTGTGGAAATATTTCATGTGGTAAGAATATGTTTCGGACTCATCTACTGTTAGTGACGTCATCCACGACTTTGTAATTCTGCTGGATGAATTTACAGCTTTTTTTTTTTCAGATCAAGCTCGATTTTTCCGGGTCTCCCCCCCCCCCCTCCTTTTCTTGGGCAAAAACATCAGTACCAGCTCGTTGTCGCATGTCGACTTAAATTTTTTTTGTAGTGAGGATAAATTACTTGCAAAAAACATAACACCTACAGTGTGTATATACATTACATGAGAAATTGGCATTAAAAAAAGTGGTCATTTAATTTTTTTTTGGCAATGACGATTGATGCATAAAGGCCTTAGGAAAAATAAATAGTGTTTTTAAATCTTGTGCTGTAGGCTTTCTTAAGGCTGTTTGAGAGCTTGATATTCTAGCAGGAATTCTGCTTGGATGCTTTTCATGCTGCACCTGGGCGTTCAGCTTCCTGTAATAGAAATTAAAGTTGAAAACAAGAAGAAGAAAAATAAGTGCAGTGCTGCTGATTATGAATCACTGAAAAAAAACTAGATAGTTCAAAAACAAAGAATCTGTGCTGCAAAACATATTTTTGAAAAAAACAAAAAACAGGATTCCCTGCTGTTTATTCTTTAATACACTTACACCTGATTTGAATTGTTTTTCAATTACAGTGCAAATATTGATAAATCCCCAAGTATTCATAAATGAAAGTAGCAGACTGCTAATCCACCCTCCTGCCTCACTGTTCAGCAACATCTCATATAAACTGGATTACTAGCCGTCTTTTAATGGACGAGCAGGGAGGTCATCCCCATTGTCTCGTTAGTCAGTACGGCATTTCACAACGGCGGCTGCAAGTAACAGCTGTCGAAGCTCATTACTCGACTGATTTTATAGGACCCTGCTTTGTCATTCCAGCTACATTCCTAACTTGGCGGTTAGGAACTGAACATTAGCCCGACTCTCTCAGCGACCTTTGCCCTGCCTCGTCAGCCGGTCAACATTTGATCTTTGAACTCTCACCCTGTCTGTCGACTGCTGTTTTCCTTCCCCGTACATTTTTTTTTTTTGTGTTTTGCACATCTCACCCACATGTTAGAGCTCTGTAATTACAGCTGTCACTCTTACATCCCTACTCATCCACATTTTGTTTTCACTCTCTCCCTCTCTCTGTTTCTCTAAAAACCCACTCAGAGTCACGAACAGAGCAGATGAAGAAAAAAAGCCTCTTAAATTCATTTCCCAGTTTGCTTTGCTGAAGGTCAGGCTGGGAACGAGCCAGCATCTCTGGTAATTGGGGAGCATGTCTTTGTGTGTGTGTGTGTGCGCGCGTGTATGGGTTATTGAAAACACTTTTCCTCTCTCTTCGTTTGCAGTCTAGCAAAGTAACATTATGATTAAAACTGGATGTTGTAGTTTCATCATTTGCACGACTCCAGCTGTATTCTAGCTCTCAGTGCCCGCACCTTTTTCATTGGGCTTTTGGCCAGCCATTAATGCACGCTGCATGTGAATGGAAACGTTGGTTACTAGTCAGATAGTCATCTTAGGAGATTTTATGTACTATAACAATTTTTTTTGAGAATTCTGGGGTTTCATTTTTCTGTCTTTTTTTGTTCCATCAACCTTGAGCTCTAGTCTTTTTCATAGTTGGGATACAGGTTTTAGCTGTGGTTACTTTTGTTTTCATTTTTACTTTTTGGAAAGATTTTTATGTTCTCAGCAGGGGTGCAACCAAGGTTTTGCCAGAGGGGGGGCACTGGCCACTACTATGGCCACCCTAATGCCAAGTTTATCATGTTT